TCCCGCAGCTGCGTTCCAGCATCATCAGCATTGGTCAATTTGGATGCGCTTGGTAGCGAGTTTCGATCAAGGACGGCGCTCGAGGATCGAGAGACCGGGAGCGCGACTTTCGCCAAGGTGAAGAGGTCCCTGAACCGGTTGTGTACCGCCGACTGAAGGTAGAGCGCCGGTTTGTCTGGCGGCAAGGCACTCCGAGGAACCGTGGATGTGGCATGCCCGGTTCGGACATCTCAGCTTCGACGCGCTTGGTCGGCTGGGGAAGATGGTCCGAGGGCTACCCTACATCAAACACGGAGGCGAGCTGTGTGACAGCTGCCTGGCCGGGAAGTAGAGGAGGCTACCTTTCCCAAAGGCGGCCAAGTATCGCGCGAAGGAAGCTCTCGAGCTAGTTCACGGCGACCTCTGCGGGCCGATCATGCCTGCTACATGCGGTGGTCGGCGGTACTTCCTCCTACTCGTGGACGATTGCAGTTGCTACATGTGGCTGCAACTCCTGACGAGCAAGGACGAAGCGGCGGTGGCGATCAAGAAGTTCAAGCAGCTGAGGCCGAGAGCGGCAAGCTCCTCGTCGACCGAGGACCGATCGGGTGGCGAATTCACTTCGGTGGAGTTTGCTACGTACTGCGCGGATCAAGGTGTGGGGCAACATCACACCGCGCCGTACTCGCCACAACAGAATGGCGTGGTGGAGCGACGGAACCAGACAGTGGTCGGCATGGCCCGATCCATGATGAAGGCCAAAGGGATGCCGGCAAAGTTCTGGGGAGAGGCGGTGACCACGGCGGTGTTCATCCTCAACCGCGCTCCAACCAAAGCCCTAACGGGCAAGACGCCGTTCGAAGCTTGGTACGGGAGCAAGCCGAACGTGTCATTCCTCCGGACATTCGGTTGCATCGGCCACGTCAGGAAGACGAAGCCGAACCTCACCAAGCTGGAGGACAGGAGCACACCCATGGTGTTCCTGGGCTACGCGGAGGGTACCAAGGCGTACCGGCTCTATGACCCACGCAGAGACAAGGTGACTGTCTCGCGCGACGTTGTGTTCAACGAGGAGGCAGCTTGGGACTGGCACAGTCCGAGCACGGGGAAGTGGGAGGCTTCACCAACACCTTCGTCGTCGAGCACTTGGTCATCCACGGCGGTGGAGATGCTGCGGAACAGGTGCCACGCACTCCGGGAGGAGCGCCGAGCACTCCGGCGGTAGAGTCGAGCACTTCTGGGGTAGTGCCGAGCACTTCAGGAGGGATGCCGAGCACTCCGAGAGGAGTGTCGAGCACTTCTAGAGGAATTCCGAGCACGCCAGGAGTGGAGCCAGGCGGTTCTACAGTGGCGGCGACTACTTCAGGACGGGTACCGAGCACTCCCGTGGCGGAGCCAAGACGTCTTACTGTGGTTCCGACCACTCCAAGATCGAGGTGGGCACTCCAAAGGTGGGCGAACACTGCAGGAGTTATGACGGCGCGATCGAAGCGATCCGAAAGCACCGTGTGTGCTATCGCAGGGCACTCCGGCGGAAGAAGAACTCCATCACCCCGATCGAGTTCGCCTCACCTCCAAGTGACATCACCGAGTTCGTGGACGCCTACCACGAAGGTGAGGAGTTGAGGTTCGCGCAGTGGACGACATCGTCGGCGCGCACAGTCCCTCGGTATGGGCGGTAGGCTGCTCAACGACGCTTGAGCTGCTACTCGTCGGTGCAGAAGGAACCAACCCACGTCGCGCGCTTAGCCGAGCGCGATGGAAGCTGGCGACGGGCAATGCTTGGAGGAGATGAAGGCGATCGAGGAAAAGCGAGACTTGGCAGCTCGTCGATCCACCCCTAGGATGCCGTCCGATCGGCTGAAGTGGGTGTACAGTCAAAAGGGACGAGCTCGGCGCCATTGTCAAGTACAAGGCGCGCCTCATCGCTTCGAGGCTTTGTCGGCCGCGAGGGCATCGACTTCGAGGAGGTCTTTGCACCAGATGGCGCGATGGAGTCGGTCCGTTTGCTACTTGCTTTGGCGGCAGCAAAGGATCGGGCGCGTCCATCACATGGACATTAAATCGGCCTTCCTCAACGGGCGAAATGGGCGGAAACGGTCTTCGTCGAGGCAACCTCCGTGGTTCATTTGTCAAGGGAGAGGAGCATGGGGTGCTCGATTGCGCAGAAAAGCGCTACACGGGTGAGGCAAGCCCCTCGAACATGGAACGCCAAGCTTGACACCACGCGGGCGAGCTTGGGTTTCAGAGAGGTGCGAATCGAGCACGCGCGCTACACACGCGACGGGGAAGGAAGAACTCGTGGTCGGCGTGTATGTGGATGACTTAATCGTCACCGCGCGCGCACAGAGAATATCATGCGACTTCAAGCGAGAGATGGCAGCTCGTTTCCGAATGAGCGATCTCGGCGCTCTCTCCTACTACCTCGGCATCGAGGTGAGACAGGGAAGGAGGAACTCACGCTCGGGAAAAGCGCGTATGCCTCAAGCTGTTGGAGAGGAGCGGCATGGTGGAGTGCAAGCCATGCGTGACTCCGATGGAGGAGGCGGTGAAGGTCGACGAAGGATAGCACCGCGCAAAAGTAGATGCAACACTCTCACCGGAGCATCGTCGGCGGTCTGCGCTACCTAGTCCACACAAGGCCGGACATTGCGTTCGCCGTGGGCTACGCGGCCGCTTCATGGAGGATCCCGGAGAGGATCATCGGGCTGCGGTAAAGCGGCTACTACGCTACGTCAAAGGGACGGTGAATCATGGAATCATCTTCCCAAAGATCGGGGAAGTAGGCTGCAGACTCACGGTGTTCAGCCGATGCGAGACATGGCGGGGACATCGACGGACGACGGAGCACCTCTGGCGCATTTCGTCTTCCTCGGGTCAGCCCCAATTTCATGGTCGTCGCCTGAAGCGAGAAGGTGGTAGCGCTATCTCACGCGCGGCGGCGATGCGTGAGCGGCGCCGCGATGGCGTGCCAAGTTGTGTGGCATGGCTGCTGCCGGGTGAGCTAACGGCGTGGAAGCTCACCCACAAAGACCGATGGTGGACAACCAGCCCGCCATCGCCCTCGCGAAGAATCCGGTTCGCGACGACCGAGTAAACACATCGACGTGAAGTTCCACTTCCTCGGGGCTGTGTTGATGGAGGGAGATCATCATCGAGTTTGTTAAACCGGTCGGCAACTCGCGGGCGTCCTCACCAAGCCGCTCGGAAGACTTCGACTCACGGAGTGAAGGAGATGATCGGCATGGAGGGGTTACAAGGGTTAGCAGTAGGATTAGGGGAAGATTGTTAGCTAATCTACTACCACCTTGTGAGAACACAGCAGAGGAAGGTGGCGCCGACTTTGCCCCCTCTTTGTGATCAAGAGGCAGCTGTAGGTGTAGGCGCGCCACGGCTCACCTCTGAAGATCAGAGGAGCGAGCGGGTGGGCGCAGAGTCAGCCTGTCGGAGTTATCTAGTTATTGTGCCCGGCATGGGCTGCACATGGACTAGATAGTTAGAGTTGTATAAATAGACATGTATGGCAACTCAAGAAAGAGAGCTCAGATTTACCATCACACAGACAGGGGCCAACGCGTTGTTGTTTGTATTGTGCGTGCTTGCTCTGTTCTCCTTCCTCTTCTAGCTCGATCCGTAGTGTGGGTACGGACAACGCGATGTCACGTGGTCTGCACGGCTAGTGGATGCTCGGCAACACTAGCGCGTGCTCGGCGAGACCGACAAGTGCTCCACTCGCCTGAGCCGGTGGTCGGCAAGATCGGCTGGAGTGGTTCACTGTCGTGAGCCGGTGATCCTGTGAGACCAATGGAGTGGTCTGGAGATCATCTCGGTGGTCGGGAGGCTAACTGTGGGCCAACAGCAATCACATATTCTGAATTTTGATGTTGAGTTATTCGCATATGAACATGCAGTTCAGTTACAGCTGTAGCTCAGTTCAATGCGTTGAATGTTTAGCTTTTTGTTAGTGAACAACTGCAGAAAATGATATTGTGGAGCTAAGATAGTTTTGGTGAGGTATTACACTGTAAATGAACAACTGCAATTTGGTGAGGGATTTTAGTTGATTGTCACAGTACAGAAATTGATATAAATAGTCCTTTTGTAGCGATGTCCTTTTTTCCTTTCCATTGAAGTTCTTTTTTCGTTTAAGTTGCAATGATATATTGAATCATAATCACTGTAATATAATTTCACCTGCTACATGTGGACAGATAAGCGCAACTACGATAGTCTGAGGTCTATATTAATCTTTGAATCTGCCTATGTTATATCTTTGAAATTGATTAATAGCAACTTTGCTCTTTATGTACAAGCACTAGTCAAATATGTGTAGATCAGTTGTTGTGATTGACATAATTGACTGAACATTTTATTTTAGAAGTTGTCATTTGTTGTTTTTCAGAAGCCTACTCATATATTCTGCTATATGTTTGTCACTTCTGTTCTCATTTCTGTGCTCATATATCCCATCTTAGCTGTTTATAGTATACAAAATGACAAACATTTTCTACACAGTAACAGTAATTTGCTGGAGATTTGCGGTTCTGTGCAGCTACTGTTAGTTCTTGACTTGTTAGAGACTTCAGTTGCGGATGCTGTAGCTAATTCATAGCAATTAGGTGAAATATTGTACAGGATGCAGTTTTTTTTGTTAGGCCCATCCTGCACCATAACATGTTCAATGTTTGGATGCTTTGCATCAATAATAGATCATGCAAATGACCATCTGTTATTTATTTGTATGGTTGTAGATAAGTGCTCTAGTCTCAAATTTGAAAGTGATTCTCTAATCTCTGAAACCTTACTGTCTATTTGCATTGTGTCTTGAATTGCTACCACCTGCACACGTTTCAATCTTTTCTTGTACTGCGATGAATATGAGATGGGATAAGAAAACTGACTTCCTTTTTTTGTATGTCCAGGCTCAACCTGAGATGCCCAACAGTGAACTCTAACTGTTTTGACGTGATTTTTGAGATGACCTTGAGTATTTTGTGTGATCTGGTAATCAATTGAACACCATGAGATTTATTCAAGAATTTGATGAAGGGAAGAAGAGCTGCCGCTCGCGTCTAGCAAAACATAATGGAAGGAGAAGGAAAGTTCAACCACAAGCTGCTGTGAATGGGAATTCCATGAATGAAAATCAATCCCTAAGTAGCGCCTTATTCCTTCTGTTAAAACAACTTTCCGGGCTAGAGCGTAAGTTCTCCTTCAATTAGCAGTTTTAGAAGCAAATATCTCAAACCACATGCAATCAGACGTAGTCATTCTAACTGTGTGCTTGTGTGGATAGCAGCTGGTAGCTCTTCTGAGCAAATCAATCATCCTAATTCTTTGGTTAACATTTTGAAGAACCTTGCTGCTATTGCTAGCACAGTCATATCAAGATATTCTAAAGAATGTAAATTCAAATTCAATATCGTCAAATGCTGGTAATAATGCTGCAAATGGTTCTATTGTGCATGAGCAAACTATACGGTCAACTCCTATCGGGAGGGAATCATTAGCAGGTAAAACATTTTATCATTTACTTGATGTTGTTTAGCATGACAAATACCAAAGTTATAAAAGAAAATGATTTGAATAACTTGTTTTCTCAGAAGAGCCTCCAGTGAAAAGGCGAGTACAGGATTTTGATTTGAATGATGCTTGCACTGAAGAAGCTGAGGTAAATTTTTAGTAAATTTCATAAACTACAATAATCTTGAACAAACATCGCAAAACTGCACCTTTTGCAAACCAGTCTAAAAAAACTACACTTTCATTGTCAATCTATGTTGTATGGTGCAGAATGTTGGTCTACGAAAAGACGACATGTTCAACAGATAAGTGTTGCGGAAATGCGTATGTTGTGTTGGATTTACGGTCATACAAGAAGGGATCGAGTTCGGAACGATGATATACGTGACATATTAGGTGTAGCACCAATTGAAAAAAAAGCTTGTCCAACACCGGTTGAGATGGTTTGAACACGTCCAACGGAGACCTCCAGAGGCATCGGTGCGTAGTGGAATCGTAAGCCAGGATAGTAACGTGAAGAGAGGTAGAGGAAGACCGAAGTTGACTTAGGTAGAGGCAATAAAAGGAAACTTGAAAGGATGAAATATATCCAAAGACTTAGCCTTAGATATAAGTGCTTGGAAAACAGCTAATCACGTGCCTGAACCTAGATTGCTTCTGTTGGGTTTCAACTCTAGCCTATCTCAACTTGTTTGGGATTTAAAGACTTTGTTGTCTCAACTCTCAAGTATATTTTTGAGAAGCAACTTTGTGAAACTACGTTTCTATTGTCCAGCCAAATCACAAAACTACACAGTTATTGCCATTTAATATCACAAAACTACAATTTTTAGCTGTTAAAAAGTGTATTTTTCCAATATGAATTGAGCGCAAATGTATGATTTGATGATACTATTTGACAATAGAAGTATAGTTTTGTAAAATTGATTTCTAAAAGTGTAGTTTTGCAACAGGTTTTCCAATCTTAGTATAATTTTCTGAAAGTTACTCTAACATTTTTAGATTGATTCTCCAAGATGTATTTCTGATGTTTGATTCCTACTTAGCCCAATACCTCTTATGCACATAACATTTGCAGAGCCGAACAGATAAAATTGTGTTCAAGCTCTTTGGAAAAGAGCCGAAAGATTTTCCTGTAGATCTACGGGAACAGGTCATTTATCATGTTACAAACTGGAATCATGTTTCTCTAACAACTTTATCAGTGTGAAGATTTTATGTTGCTAATGCAAACTCTTTCATTAAATGGTTTAATAAATGGTTCATGTTGTGTGATTGCGTTGTGCTGTACTGTGTTGTGCTGTTAATAATCTTGTATTGAATGTAATGTTTTATGGGCTGTGCTGTTATAATGGGTCTTTCAAAATTGAAATTGTATTTCCTGAAATTTGAGTTGTGGCATGTTCGGTTTTGGGCTGGCCCAAAAATTGGAACAGGCTAAAAATGCTGTATGGGCTGCGCTAAAAAAAACTAGGTCATGGACTTGGTTAAAAAAAAGTGGTGTGGGCTGGACTGAAAAAAGGCCAAAATTAATACATATGTAAATGGGCTAAGAAAGCAATAAAATGTAATGGGCCTGGCCAAAAAATGCAACCCAAATAATACGGTTGGCCCATCATAAGCCTGGATGCCACATGGGCTTAAACAAGCTAAATTCTGCTTTAGGTCCAAGAAACCTATGACATGAAATCGAATGTCATAATGTTATGACATGAACACTTATAGGTCATAAGTTGTCGTTAAAGACGCTCATCTTTTGACATTTCATTTTTCGTCAACTTGGCATCACAAATGACGATATGTGACTTATTTTCCTGTTTTTATGACCAATAACAAACATCAAAAGATGACATATTTCTTGTAGTGTCAGGGGCTTCCGGACCCGCCCATTAGCCCCTCAGGCCGGACGCCTTCGCCGCCGAGGAAGCCTCTAGAAGGTGCACCTAGTGGAGGCCAGTTCAACCCGACAAGTGTAGGGTCGAGATGGCGGACTAGAGGAGGGTGAATAGTTCTTTCTAAAAATAATTGCGCTGGCTAACCGAGATAAATGCGGAATTAAAACTAACGGTTTAGCCAAGACTACACCCCTCTATCTAAGTTCTAAAGCACCTTAAAAAGATCCTAATTAGACAACAAAGGTGCTGAGCTAGTTAGAGCTCACCTAATAATTATAGCTTACAAGGTCACACAAACCTATACAACTAGTACTTCACACAACCAAAGGGAGCTCCTACACAATCTAGTAAGCAAAAGTACAAAACCACCTAAGCTTACTCATAATACTCAATAACAAGGCAACTAATGCCAAATTAGAGAGCGCAAATTACTTAGCTACACAAACTAAGCAAAGTGACTAACAAGGTTACTCAAACCAAATTAGCCACGCAAGGGAGCTACTTCTATGCTACACAAGTAAGAAGGTAACTAGCAAACTACATAAGCTAATTAATTACAAGAGCAACTACACAAACACAATGTATATGAAAGTAAATACAAGCTTATGTAAAAGGGATGCAAACCACTGGAAAGACAAGGATGACACAGTGATTTTTATCCCGAAGTTAACTTGGTTGCCACCAAGCTAATCCCCGTTGTGTCGATCGCTCACTTGGTGGTTTAGCGGCTAATTGGCATCACCCGCCAAGCCCACATGTTGGGCACCACAAGAACCTACCCACAAGTGAAGGTAGCTCAATGACACACTCAACTAGAGTTGCTCTTCGCGGCTCCCGCGGGGTGAGCACAATACCCCTCACAATCACTTCTCCAGAGCACCGCACAATCTTTTTTGCGTGTTTTGACGGAGACCACCACCAAGCCGTCTAAGAGGTGGCAACCACCAAGAGTAACAAGCACCACCAGCTTATAACTCGATCATCTAGTGCCACTCGATGCAACCTCACGATGCAATCGCACTAGAATCACATTCACACTCAATCGGATGATCACTATCAAGCGTATGTGAGTTAGAGGGCTCCCAAGCACACCGACACAAGCCACCAAGGCTTAAGGGTGCTCAGCAACTAGCCCAAGGCTGGTCAAGGCTCCTATTTATAACCCCACGAACAAAAAGAGCTGTTACCCTTTCACTAGGTGAAATTCTCATTGACCGAACACGCAGGTCGTGCACACCGGACACATCCGTTCCTGCGTTCGGTCGTTGCTCTCGCGCCATGTGTCACTAGCCGTTTGAACTAGAAGTTGCCACCAATGGCTAACTCACCTGCGCACCTGACAACATGACCGGACGCACCTCCTTGACATGACCTGACTCACAACGATGCAGCGTCCGGTCGAGTCCAGAGAGCTCCCAGAGCCTCTTTCCTGCGACCGGACGCATCCGGTCCTTGGTGATCGGACTCACCTCCATGTCCGCTCCTCCTTAGATCAACTCAGCGTGCCACGTCACAATGACCGAACATGATGAACAGTGTTCACGTAGGGTCCGGTCCTTCTCCCTTTCAGCGTCTAATTGAGTCAGCACTTCTGCCTAAGCCTCGCGTCACATGACCGGATGCACCTAGTCACCTCGGACCCAGCGTTCGGTGACTGCAGCTGCACTGCCCGCATCTAGGGTTGAACACCGGACGCGTCTGGTCCCAATATCAGACGCGTCCGGTCACCCTGTGACCAGCACTTCCAACTCCATTTCTTCACCAACTTCTTCTCCTTTGCAAATGTGCCAACACCACCATGTGTATGTGTGTTAGCATTTTCATAATCATTTTAAGGAGTTAACAACTAAATTCACCATGCCATTCGATCCTAGCAACATCGCAAAGTTAGATCACTCGAGTGGCACTAGATGATCGATATGCAAACAAGTTTGCCCCTCTTGATAGTACGACCATCTATCCTAAACCCGGTCATGCACTTCTCTACACACCGATGACCGGTGAAACGAAATTCCCTATGGTTGTACCTTTGCCTTGCACATTCCATCTCCTCCGATGTTGATGCAATACATGCACCAACCAATCACAAATGATATGATCCACTTCATATCATCACGTGACCATGTTGGTTCATTGATCTTGACTTCACTTGCTCTTCACTGTTGCTTCGGTCCATCAGCGCCAAGTCTTCACCCAACTTGCCCTTCACACTTACAATCGGTCCGTCAAGCCAAGTCTTGTCTTGATCTTCTCCACCTTAGTCACATGACTCAATGTCATATCTCATATGCAATGAGCTCCTTCATTACATGTGTGAGCTTTGCAACAAATCCAAGCCATTTCATCTCTATGGCATGTGTTGCTCACACAATTACACCTGTGGACTAATCACCTATGTATCTCACATTAAAACACATTAGTCCACCTAGGTTATCACTTAATTACCAAAACCAAACTAGGGACCTTTCAACAAGGACTAACAGTCAGAGCGTCAGAGCAGAGCAGCCAGACGATGCCCAAAGCTTCTCTGACTCGACGACAACGTCGAGATCTATCCACGCCGCAGCAGCGCCCTCCTGGACTCTAGCGCATGTAGACTGTTGACGGTAGTTGACGGACATTATAAACCATCAATGTAACACGTATAAGGGCATGAATATAATCACCGACATAGGTTTAGGGGTTTGAACTAACAAATTCCACGAGTTTTGGTGAATCTTTATTTTCTGCAGGGTTTATCCAGAAAACCGGCAATGTGGACCTAGATGTCAGAATTAATCATGCTTAATCATCGCATAAACAACTCTAGAAGGTTCTAGACGACACCACACCGAAGCGGAGAGTGAGGGGCCTCTAGGTGGGACCAGTCGATCCCACTGGCAGGCCGGCTAGTCTAGGGCCCCACCTGTCAGCCTCTGTCTCGTTATGTCAGTTCTCCACCGCCTCCTAGATTGCATCTACGCCGTTTATTCAAGTCGGTTTGATCTGAGGGCTCAGGATTGATGCTCCGGCCTATATATATCAGCTCCTGCCACCCCCATATGATCAAGAGAATCAAACCCTGATCAAGTCAGTTGAGAAGATAGAAACCCTAATCATCCTCAGAGCTTCACCATATTCTAGGGCATAGCTAGCTAGGCTAGGTTTAGAGGGAGGCAAGCTTCACTTGGATTCCCGATCTTGTCAAGAGCATGACTTGATATAGTTTTTGTATCCTCTCTCGTTTGTATCTCTCATTACTTTTATATGTTTGCTACAAATGTTATGACAATATTCTTCATATCATTCATGTTCCTAGTTATAATGTTCATCGTTTATTTTGATTATATGTTTAGTATAGCTAGATTGTCTTTATGTTCAAGCATAAGTTCATATAGCGCTCACTCTAAGGTACCATGGGTGAGTGGTCGACATTGTGTAAGCGTGGTGCTTATACGTTGTTTACCTACGGATGCACCCTATATTTTGGGCCATGTGGTAGATCGCGAATGTGACAATCCCGTTGAGTTCTTTGTAGTCCACTCCCCGAATATAGGACAAGTAGGATCTAGTTACGAAGGAAGACAAGCTCTGTTCTTAATCTTCCTTAGTAATATCCCTTATGTATAGATATGAAGTTGATCTTAACCATGATTACTAATTGTAATTGCAATAATCAACGTATGCTTTGACTTATAATTAAGAATGACTTAGAAATTATTCCTCTAATATTCTACTTAGCCATGCTAATACCATAGAAAGGAGTACTCTAAGTAATTAATTATCATTTATCATTACTTATCATATACATTTATCTCTTGACTTACCCCTGTTATGAGTAGAAGTTTGGTTATGGTTTATTTCTCCATCATACATATAAGTTATCAATATATTCAAAATGTCAGTCCTTCCTTGTGGTAAAAATATAAATAATGATACCTAAAATACTCCCGGGTGAAGTGCTACAATGGTATATTATCTGTGCGCTTGCAGATCCCTTTTATTTATATATTCTTTCTAGTCACATGAAATACTAAAGTACTTCTTAGTGTCATTCAAGAAGTGGCACTAGGCAGTACCAACAAGCATTTTTGGCATCATAGCTAGAGATGATAACTTAGTAAAAGTGATGCTAAGAAATGTCAACAACATTATGTGGCTATTTAAACAAATGACAAGTCAATAAATACCAACAAGCATTTCTGGCATCGTTGTTAGAGATTAAATTCAAAACCTTGTTCTTAGTAGCAACGTTAAGAAATGCCAACACAAACCATAGTTTAAGCCCCCCAAACCACCATGTATCTGACCTACCTCAGTGTATAAGGGGAGGTCG